GTTAAATTGGATTATACCACGAAAAATCACAAATTAATAAACCTGTTACAAACGGAGGGGTAAAACCCTAAACTGGTAGACCTGTCGACTACCATGTGTCATTCAACTCATCAACTTGACGGTAAAGTTTAATGGAAACTAACGGAGGGTAAATTTATCACAAGTGTATCGGTTTGGGGTTTTTGATGGTTAAAAAATTAGTTTGAGCTAAATTTATCATAGGTATACTAGTTTGAAGTTTTTCGTGGCATTAACCCAATATATTATCAATGATACTATTAAATCCTAACTTTTATATTGATTTGTTGTCCGATTTAGTATACCTTCAAGGAAAATAATGTTAATTTTGATAGGAATTTGATGCGTTCATTGGTTTGGAAATTAAGGGCGCGTTTGGCAACCGGCCAAACAGTAGCTATTTCTAATCTTTTGTTCTCAGAATCAGTTTTAGAACAAAAATCCGTTTGGTAAATTTTTTATTCCCGGACACAAATTTGCAAAAATTTGTTCCCAAAATCAGTTTTGGAACAAAATCGAAGAAGAAAAAAAAGTTGCTTCTTGATTGTGGGAACAAGAATAAAAAATGGAAAAGAATTTTTTTTTTCTTCTTCTTTTTCCTGGCCTGTGATCGGTCTCCGATCGCCGACCACCAGCGATTGGCCACAGGCCTGGCGAGGGTAGCCCTCGCCGGCCCTGGCCTGTGGTCAGTCGTCGACGTCAGCGACCTGGCCATGGCCAAGGAAAGGGAAGAAGAAGAAAAATAAAAGAAAAATAAAAAGAAAGAAATATTAAAAAATTCAAAATATTATTAAAATATTATTAATAAAAAAGAAATTTTGTGCAGTTACCAAACACATTTATGTTCTTTTTCTATTCCAATAATAGAAATTTTGGGCAGTTACCAAATACCTTCAAATGTTAGAAATTATTTCTGAACATAGAATAAAAAGGAATAATTTTTGAACAGAAATTATTTTCGGGAACAGAATGGTTGCCAAACGCATCCTAAGTAACGGAGTGTGTACAGTGAAAAATGTGTTGTCAGGATCATGAGCAAGTGGGTGTACAGTGCTCCAGTGATAAACAAAAATAGAGTTGTAGACCAATTAAGGACAGCTCGATTTCCTCTATTGCTCGAGAAAGTATATTTAGGCTCCGTTCATTTCACGGAAAATAACTTTCGGAAAAATGTTTTCCTAGTTTTTGGATGTTAGTTTCACGGAAAATAACTTCCGACGGAAAAAATTTTTCCCCCCCTTGGGCAAAACACCTTCACTTTTAAGGAAAATGATTTCCTCTTTTTGATAAGGGGAAAACATTTTCCCCCTCTCCTTCTTTCACCATTCATTTTTTTTCTTTTTCTTTTTCTTTTTTTTCCTTCTTCTTCTTTCGCAGCCGGTCGCCAGCCACGATGGCGGCCGGTGACTGTGACATCACCAATTTCGAGCCTAGGAAGCCGAGGACTAGTGATGAATGGATAAGCAAGTAGTCCGAGCCGATGGTCGGTAATAGAACGGACAATATAATCGGAACGAGTGTACTGAGGGTTGGTTATGGTTCGATCGAAAGATTGTCCATGAATTGGCCTAGGGATCGACAGTGGAATGACTCCCTGACTACGCAAAATGATTAGAGTAATATGACTGTTGAGTGACCCTTCGACCATAAGGGTCGTTAGTGGAATGGTTTGGGATAGCTGTGGATTAGTCCGGTGTCGGAATGTATCGATTGCGGGTGATACCGCACGGCCATGCATCGGTCACGGATGACCATGAGTTAATTCCGGGGTACTGAATTTCACGAGGCTACATGACAACCGAGGGTCGACCATGGGTCGTTGACACTCGAACGTGGATCGGTCGCAAATCGGCCACGAATCATTGCGCCAAGTCGGGTAGGCCACGGACGAGCTATGTGCCAGGCCATGAGCCCAATGGCTTGGCCGCGGACTAGGCCATGTGCCAGCCACACCGGCTAGGCCGTGTGCTCGGACGTGACCGGCCATCGTGCCTGTCAGCTAGGCCACAGATCGGCTACGTGCCCGGTCGTGTGCCGGCCATTGTGCCTGACTCTTGTGCCATGTGTTGTGCCTATAAGATCCGATTCCGATCTAGTCTCGTGCTCAAGAAATATGGCCATGAGCCGTGCATTGTGCCATTTATGAGCCATTACGCGTGTTTGCCCGTGAACCGATCCCTCGCTCGTGTGACCAAGCGTGGTGCTCGGCACGCCGCTCGTGTGGCTGGCATGGTGCTCGGCACATTGCACGTGTAGCCGGCGTGGTGCTCGGCACGTCGCCCGTGCGGCCCGGCGCAGCGCCCGTACGGCCCGACACAGCGCCCATGTGGCCAGGCCAAGTACCTAGCCCTGTGCTCTTGTGGCCCAGTCGCGTGCCCGTGTGGCCCGGTAGTGCGCCAGGCCCCGCGCCCAGTCAGACCCGGCCACGCGCCCAGCAACCCGGTTAGCTTGGGCTTATTACTTTTTACTTGGACCTTGGTTTGGTTGTGTTAGGTGATACTTGCGGACATTCTCGCACCGAACCTCGGGTTGAACGGGTATATTATGCGTGGACAACCCTTGGAAATTTGGAGAATAGTATGATGCGGGGTTATCATTGTCGAGTCGTTTAGTCGGTTTTGTGTAAATCGATTGGCCCGAGAAGTTTATATGTGGAACTAGCATGCTCAGGAGATTTCACGGTTCAGAAATTACAAAGGAAAAGAAGACAAATTTGTTGACTTGGTCAAAGGCTTCATTTAAGGCCATTTAATGCCATTTAAGGCCTTCATAATTGGACCCCCTTAGGTGTCCCCTCCATTATTGCTGACCAAGCTTAGCTGGTGCATGGCATTAAAGGCCATTTGATAACTCAATGGCCACCAATTATGGGGCACAAGCAAGGGACAATCGGCCAAGCTAAGGAGGAAACCGAGAAAACCATTCGGCCAAAGGAAAAAGGAAGGAGAGAGAGAGAGAGAGAGAGAGAGAGAGAGAGAGAGAGAGGCCAAGGGATAAGATCACATTGAAAGCCCTTAATTGCCATGCATCATTGCTTTTGGCTCTTGTGTATTAATGCACATTAAAGCTTGGCTTCTTTTCCAAGCTTGCTTGTCTTTAAAAAGGGAGAAGCCCCCTCACGTGAGAAGCCCCCACAAGAACCGGCCATCATCTTCTCTTCTCCTCTTGCCTTCCTTTTTCACGCCCAAACACACACAAGCCAACCTTGTTCTTCCTCTTTGCTTGTTCGGCCAACTAGAAAGTCACACCCGAGGCCTCGTTTTTCCCGAACTCAAGCTTTTTTCGTGCTCAAGCCAAGCCACCAGCCACTTTCTTACTTTAGTATCTCGTGTTCTAGTGATTTGTTGAGTAAGTGAATTCCCTAATATCGGGAAAGGAAGTTGCGATACGTTGTAACATGGGTTGTTTGGTCCGTTTCTTGGTTTCTTGGTCGATTATAGCGTGTTCTTGTTTGCTAAGTGATGCTCACGTATGACAAGCATGTTTGATGTTTATTTTATTGTTTCGTAGCGTGAACTTTGCCATCGATTTGCCATCAATGCCAGTACGGTAAGAGCCGACTTATGTGAACGGAGCTTATTTCGTCCTTGCTTGATATTAGAGTTTTCACTTATTGAGTCTCCCCGACTCACTCCCATTGTTTTTCCTCTTTTCAGGTCCGTAACATGGCGTCTCCCCCAACCCAGTTCGGAAACCTTGTGGAAATGCGAGCCGAACTTCTCATAGTAATTGACACCCGGGAAGGTCGTGCTTACCGTCGTATCACAACATATGTGATGGTCGACAAAGGCCATGAGGAGTTAGTCCCTCACCCGTACGAGGCATGGTACCGCCTAGCACATGGAGAGTGGGTTGGACCCCTTCGCGGGTTCAACGAGCCATTCGGCGGACCAGGCGGGCCAACTCAGGGGCAAGCTAATGGTGAGGTGTGAGATGGCCGGACGGACGAGGAGCGGGAGGAGCGAGAAAATCGAGAAGCCGTAGTGAAGCTAAGAACCCAAGCCAAAATTTTGTTGTTCGATAGTTGGCTTTTGTGGAATGGCCCTTGAAATGGGCATGTAAAATAGAAGTTTGGCTTGTAAGGGCCCGTAAAGAAGGGCTTGACGAAATAAGCACGTATTATGTAAATATAACGTGCGTTATTTGCTTATTTCACTCATGTTGTCTCGTTTATTTTTAATTGCTTCTGCATGCACATTTGATTGATTAAAATGAACGGGACGTACTAATACATTTCCGCGAGTCACGGTTCCGTTCGGGTCATGTTCGGTCATTAAGCATCGATCGTGATTCCGGGTCGGGACGTGACAGTGTGGGGTATCTTGTTTTGGTATCAAAGCAGGTTTTCCCTCTAGTAGGTGCGAGTTCGTGGCAACTTACGATTGGACGATCCGACAAGGGCGGGGAGTGGCGGCCAGGGGCCATACGACCCGAACATTAGCGGCCTCTTAGGAGGTGGCGCAAGGGGTCATGAATGCTGAACATTGTGCGGCCTCTACGGAGGTGGCGCCGAGGCAATAATGCTGAACATTGTGCGACCTCTACGGAGGTGGCGTCGGGGTAATAATACCTTATCATTGAGCCGGCTTCTAGCGAGGTGGCTTGGGGCAAAAGCCTAATCATTATGCGGCCTCACGGGTAGAAGTGGCGCCGGGGTATATACCACCTAATAATTGAGCGGCTTCTGAAAGGAAGTGGCACCGGGGTGAAGGGCTCCCGGCAGGTTTCTAGGACGGCTAAAGAACGAGAATAACTGAACTGTGCACCAAATTGTGGAAAACAGTTCTAAACGCCAAGCGGAAATAAAGATCTGGAGTGATAAGGTGCGCTAAAGTTGGGGTAGTTAGCCAGGAAACACCTTACGCATGTGATTGTGTGCTTGTGTACCTGATTGGTTGGTAAGTAGGCATTTGGTTGCTAAGCTTTTGATCACTGACATATTCTTGCGTTGTAGAAAGCCGTAGTAGAATACCAACGGCAGTATGAGTGCTCAGGACCCGGCCACGACCTTGAAAGGAAAGTCAAAGCAAAATCCCCGAATAGAGAGAATTCTGCAGGCTCTTGCGACCGTAGGAGATTTGCTGGGACAACAAGTTCAGCAACGGTTGCCTAATGCTGAGAATGCAGCGGCAAATGGAAATGGGAATGGTGACCGAACGATGCATGGATTGGTCGAGCAATTCCTGAAGCTGTGACCCCCAAAATTTGCTAGAACAGGAGATCCCGAAGAGGCGGAATCCTGGATAGACGAGATACATAAAGCATTTGAACTTCTGAGATGTTCTGAAGAAGAAAAGGTGATCTTGGCGACATATCAATTGCAGGTTAACACCAATCATTGGTGGAAGGCGACGAAAGAAATCGTGTTCCCAAGAAATATGGCTGTCAACTGGAATGCCTTCGTCGAGGCATTCAACGAAAAGTATTTCTCCGAGTGTGCCCGTGACCAAAAAGTGAAGGAATTCTTACAATTCCAGCAGAACAACTTGACGGTGAACCAGTTTGAGGCAAAGTTCGCGCAATTATCAAGGTACGCCCCTAGACTTATTGAAAATCCAATCGACAGGGCAAAGCGATTCCGTGATGGTCTCAAGCCTGACATCCGGAGTCAGCTAGTACCATTGAACCTGAAAGATTATAATGAGTTATATGAACGAGCTCAACTGATCGAAAAGGATTCGCTGGAAAGGGCAATGTCAGCAAGGCCCTATTATTTTGCTCCTCAGGCAACTCAACGCTCTGGCAAGAGATCTTTCGTGAAAGGAAAGCGTCCCTTCGCCCCCAACAAAAAGCAAAGTTTCCCGAAGGTGACTATTGTTTCTAGTGACACCCGTTCGTGTGTCCGGCCAAAATTGAAATGAAACCGTTAGAAAATGCACTTAGTGTTTCTACTCCTATGAAAGATGAAGTGCATACTACCCTAGGATGCCAAGGGTGTAAGATTATTATAGGTGGAATGGAGGATATTATAAATCTAGCGGTACTAGCCATGTATGATTTTGATGTTATCGTAGGCATGGGTGGCTCAAGAAGCCCATATAGGCTTGTTATAGCAAGGTGATTCGAGTTTCATCCACCGATCGTCCCTGCTATACATTTGTGGGAAAATGGAGGAGGACCTTTTGCTCCTTTGATTTACGCTTTAGAAGCAACCCAACTATTGAGAAAGGTTGTCAAGGATTTCGGCAACAATAGAAAATACATCAAAGGAAGAAGAACCAAAAGCTGGAAGATATCTCGGTTGTACAAGAATTTCCAGGATGTTTTTCCAAAGGAATTACCAGGTCTATCTCGGAGCGGAAGTAGAATTTGCTATTGCTAGTAGTTAATGAGCCCATTTCCAGAGCTATACATTCATTCGAATTATCTAGACAATTCTGTGTACGGCCAAAATTGAAATGAAACCGTTAGAAAATGCACTTAGTGTTTCTACTCCTATGAAAGATGAAGTGCATACTACCCTAGGATGCCCAGGGTGTAAGATTTATTATAGGTGGAATGGCGGATATTATAAATCTATTAATTAAAAAAAAGCCATGTATGATTTTGATGTTATTGTAGGCATGGGTGGCTCGTGTCACAAGCCAATGAGCCCATATAGCCCTTGTTATAGCAAGGTGATTCGAGTTCATCCACCTCGATCGTCCTCGCTATATATTTGTGGGAAATGGAGGAGGACCTTCTACTTCTTTGATTTTGCGCTTTAGAAGCAACCCAACTATTGCGTAAAGGTTGTCAAGGATTTCGGCAACAATAGAAAATACATCAAAGGAAGAAGAACCAAAACTAGAAGATAGTTGGTGCGCGGTTGTACAAGAATTTTTATAATTATTTTTCCAAAGGAATTAAAAATTCGAAAAAAAGCCACGTAATTTCCAGTGTACAAGTCGGACCATTTTTTAATATAAATGCCGGTGCTTTTTGGCCGGAGTCACTAAAGTGATCGGTTTTCCTCCGAACTTGGAGCCAAAGTGATTCGAAAAAAGTTATGGCACCAAAGTGATCGCGATGGCTTATGGCACTTGTGGTGTACTTTTGCCGAATTAAAAGTGCAACTGCAAGAGTTACTTGATAAGGGCTTCATCCGTCCAACTGCACTCCCTGGGGTGCACCAATTTTGTTCGTGAAGAAGAAAGACGGATCACTACGACTTTGTATCGACTATCGGGAGTTAAATAGGGTTTCTATAAAAAAATAAGTACCCACTGTCGAGAATCGATGATTTATTTGATTAACTCGAAGGAGCATTCGTGTTTTCCAAGATCGATTTAAGGTCGGGATATCATTAGCTGAGGATTAAGAAAGAAGATATTCCAAAGACGGCATTCCGAACCCGATATGGCCATTATGAATTCACCGTTATGCCATTCGGCTTGACGAATGCTCCAGCTGCTTTTATGGACCTGATGAACGGAGTGTTCAAGCCATACTTGGATCGTTTCGTCATAATCTTCATTGACGACATCCTGGTATACTCGAAGGATTCGGCGGAACATGAACAACATTTGAGATTTGTGCTTCAGACGCTCAGGGAACACGCACTTTATGTAAAATTAAGCAAATGCGAGTTCTGGCTATCTCGTGTGGTGTTTTTAGGCCACGTAATCTTGGGAGATGGCATATCAGTGGATCCATCCAAAATAGAAGCGGTACTTAACTGGCCAAGACCAACGACCGTGACAAAAGTTCGAAATTTCTTGGGTTTGGCAGGATACTACAGAAGGTTTGTGGAACGATTCTCTAGCATCGCTATCCCTTTAACGCGATTGCTAAAGAAAGAAACGAAGTTCGAATGGACTGACAAGTGGGAGCGGAGTTTCCAAGAATTGAAACAAAGACTGACGATTGCTCCTATTCTAACTATACCTAAAGAACCAAGAGGATTTGAAATATACAGCGACGCCTCTCACAAAGGGCTAGGCCGTGTATTGATGCAAGATGGCAAAGTGGTGGCTTATGCCTCGAGACAATTGAGGCCATACTAATTGAATTATCCAACCCATGATTTGGAGCTCGCTGCGATTGTGTTTGCCTTGAAAATTTGGCGGCACTACTTATATTTGGAGAAATTTGTCATCTATATGGATCATCAAAGTTTGAAATATTTATTTTCCTAGAAGAAGCTGAATATGAGGCAACGACGTTGGATGGAACTTCTCAAGGACTACGACTGTGAAATATTGTACCATTCTGGCAAAGGAAACAAAGTTGCCAATGCTCTTAGTCAAAAATCTGTGATCGCATATCTAATGGTCAAGGAATGGACCCTACTTGAGGAAGCTCGGGACTTTGGACTTCAAACTTGAAGTTAGGACATCATCAGAACTTACTGGCAGCTCTTAGAATCGAGCCGGACATCATATGGAAAGCCAAGGCATTACAACAAACAGACCCGGAGATTCAGAAAGTCCAGAAGGAGTTATCAGAAAAGAAGAACTCCAAGTTTCATATGACTAATGATGGAATTTTTAAAGTTTAATGGACGCATATGCATGCCAAAGGATGAACAACTCAAAGAAGAAATCTTGACGGAAGCCCACAAGAGCAATTATAGTATTCATCTAGGCAGTACCAAAATGTACCAGAATTTGCAACAACATTTCTGGTGGAATGGCATGAAGACGGACATAGCTAAACATGTGGCTAAATGCTTGACGTGTCAACAAATTAAGGCTCAACATTGCAAGCCTGGAGGATTATTGCAACCGTTGGAAATTCCTGAATGGAAGAGGGAACACATCACGATGGATTTCGTAATGGGATTGCCAAGAAGTCAGAGAGAAAATGATTCCATTTGGGTAATTGTCGATCGCTTGACAAAATCAGCCCATTTTCTTCTAGTAAGAAAGGACCTCCCATTGGAAGGATATGCCGAGTTATATGTTCGCCATATTATGCGACTACACGAAGTCCCGGTAACGATCACATCCGATCGAAATTCGAAATTTACTACAACTTTCTGGCGGAGTCTCCAAACCGCTATGGGAACGAAGTTGCAATACAGTACAGCTTATCATCCGCAGACGGATGGTCAAATAGAAAGAACGATCTAGACTCTTGAGGATATGTTGCGAGCATTCGTCATCGATTCAAAGGGAGTTGGAATGAACATTTACATCTCATAGAATTTGCATACAACAACAGTTACCAGCAAAGTATCGGAATGGCACCATTCGAGGCATTATACGGTCGAGTTTGCGGAACTCCAAACTGTTGGGACGAGGTCGGGGAAAAGAATGTCACGGGTCCAGAGCTAGTGCAACTCACCAACGAGGTTGTACAAGTGATTAGAGATAAGTTGAGAACCACCCAAAGCCGACAAAAGAGTTATGCTGACAGACGTAGGAAGCCTCTAGAATTCCAAGTAGGTGACCACGTGTTTCTCAAAGTGTCACCCATGAGGGGTGTGTCGCGTTTTGGGAAGAAAGGTAAGCTAAGCCCTAGGTACGTAGGACCTTTTGAAATTCTAGAACGAATAGGGAATTTGGCTTATCGGTTGGCGTTGCCACCGAAACTTGCTCAGGTGTATGATGTGTTTCATGTATCCATGTTGAGAAAGTATGAGCCCGATCCGGCACATGTGTTGAATTTCGACGAGGTCGAATTGGACAGCAGAGTGTCCTATGTTGCGGAATCACCCTTGAAATAGGCATGTAAAATAGAAGTGTGGCTTGTAAGGCCTGTAAAGAAGGGCTTGACGAAATAAGCACGTATCATGTGAATATAACGTGCGTTGTTTACTTATTTCACTCCTGTTGTCTCGTTTATTTTTAATTGCTTCCGCTTGCGCATTTGATTGATTAAAATGAACGGGACGTACTAATACATTTCCGTGAATCACGGTTCCGTTCGGGTCATGTTCTGTCATTAAGCATCGATCGTGATTCCGGGTCAGGACGTGACAGTGACTGGCTAGGTCGAGCCTCGCCACGCCACAGGCCGGTGAGGCTCGATCCGACGAGCTCGAGCCTCGCTGGCCTGTGGCGAGGCTCGAGCTCGTCGGAATTGCGAGGCTCGACCTAGCCAGTCGCTGGCCGCTACTGTGGCCGGCGACCGGCAGAGTAAGAAGAAGAAGGAAAAAATAAGAAAAAGAAAATTAAAAATATTTTTAAAAAGTAAAAATAAAAAATTATTAAAAGTAGTGCAAGGAAGAAAAATTTTTCTATACCGAACAACGGAAAATATTTTCCAAAACTTTTTAGATTTCAGCCGAACACCGGAAAATTGTGTCATTTTCCAGGAAAATGATTTCCTGGAAAACATTTTTCAGCAGCGTAACATTTTTCATGAAACAAACGGAGTCTTAACTTCGGGTGCTTTTCCAATAAGCACACGTGACAAAAAGTCCACCCAATCTTTAGGATAAACACTAAGGTTGCGTTTAGTCAACCGGAGACATAACTTTGGAGAACATTGAATTTGGATATGTCCAGATATAAAAATCCTACCTAGGCGGTGGGATAAAACCAGACATATAATACGAATAAACTAAGGAAAAAATAACAGAAAAAAGGAGAAAAATCCCATGGACTCGCTTCGCTGTTCACCGCTTGACGTCGTCCCCGCCAGGTTTGCGCTAGGGGTGATCGGTTCCTGGTCCGGTTCGGTTCCAAGGTGGAACCGGGAACCGGACCGAGAGAACCGGTTTCCAATTTTGGGAACCGCGGACCGGACCGGTTGGTTCTAGGACCGGGAACCGGTCACTTAGAGTTTAGTTTTTTTTTTTTTGTTTAAACACTTAAGGTTTGGTTCACATTTTACTAATTTTTGTCAATGAAGTTCACTTAGGGTTTAATTCACATTTTACTAATTTTTATCAATGAATTTATGATAATGAAGTCCACTTATATTTTAGTTCACA